GGCAAGCTGATCAAATCGGCCATTGGACCACACGTACTCGCAGTCACAGGTGTCGCTTTCTCCTGGTGCTTGCGTGTGATCTGTATGATGGTCGCCTCCTCGCCAAAAATACCCTCATCATCAACCGTTGCTACTTGCGTTCCCGCTCCATCCAGCGCGGACAGCAAGATCGTCTCTCCTACATCCTTCCCACTAGAGTTCTACCGACGCAAGATCCTCGACTACCTCCGGATGTGTGGACCCTTTTGTCTCTTCTCCGGTGGCCCACCTACTTCACCTGCTTCGTTCGCACCAGTCTACCTCCGCTTAGCCTTGTACTTCAACTCGGCAGTATCCTTTGCTTCTCAGCTAGGATCGCTAGTCTCGCCTCAGTCCGAGAAGGAGAGCCCAGTGCACCAGGATCCGATCGCACTCGGTAACGAAGCGGATAACCTACTGGAGATGGCCAAAGAGTTGGGATTCCTCGGCTATGTTCTCGCTCGAACCACCCAAGGAGATGCTTGCAAGTTGCTCACTGGAGCAGCTCCAACCGCTCAGAGTCAATGATGGAGACCATGGCATTGCGTTGTTTGACATCGTCACAACCCCAACCCCCCAGATGCGTGTGTGAAAAGCGACTGTGAATAATTGCAAAAAAAAAAAAAAAAAAAAAAAGACTGAGATGCGCGAACAAGGAATACAATACAAACGTAAGAACCATCAGAGACGACATCAAAACCACACCCACGCCATCAACCTCGTTTCACACACCCAAGATTAGGCGATGTTAGTTGGCAGATTTAGGACTCCACGGAATCCAAGTTCTGGCTGCCACTGTGCCACCACTGCTACTGGGACTAGCCTGCAAGGGTGGAATATCGGACTGCTCTAACAAATCGTAACTCTCGCCCATCGCTGTACCCGCTTTAACGGTTTGTCTGGCACCTGCCAATGAAACAAACCTATTTCTCAAACTATCCTGGTTTCCCGCCTGTCCGCCAAAACTACCCCTCAGTCCGCTTGCCGGGTTGATCAACGTCACTGGCGCCACACCAGGCACTTGGTCACTATCGTTAGAATTGCTGCTTCCACTAATTGGAACGCCGGCTGCATCCAATACTGCCAACTGCGATTCTAACTGTCTTCTTCTCTGCATAGCAGCTTGCCTCTTGCTCGCATCGTTCACATCACCTGATGCTGAACTCGGGATACTATAAGCAACAGTTTGGGGAGGAGGCGCTTTGGATTCGAGAAAACTCCTCGCACTAGCCACCGCCAAAGGAGCATATGTCTTGACTAAATTCCCAAACATAGATATCGATGCTTGCGCCGGGTTGTGCTGTATTGGAGGTCCTGCGACACTTGCACCTGATCCAGGTGGTCGGTGTCTCGCACTTGCATCCTTACCGGGAACCTGAGGCGCTTGCGCTTGCGCTTGCCCACCCGCTCCTCCTCCTGCCAGAGTAGCACTCCATAACCCCCCGAGATAGGCATCGAGCTTGCCTCTCGCACTTCGCTTCAACTGGTCAAGATGTGTATCGATGGCTTCCTGGTTGGTCTGCAAGAAAGGATGGAGGTGATTGGTGTATATATAAGTGGCACCTCTTGTTTGTGGTGCAACGAGCCAGATGTTGAATAAGAGACGGAGTTCGTAGTAAAAAGGCACCCAAGACCAGAGAAAGCCGAAGAGAGATTCGAAGAGAGTCCAACAGGCAAAGACGGACCAGTATACCAGCCAGACTTGCATCTCGGCGAGCGAGGTGGTGGAGGTGGTGACCGCTTTGTACGATGAATAGAGCGGGTAGACCAGGGTGAAGGTCGAGTTGAGGGCCAACGTTGGCAGGTGCAGGAGTAAGAGCGCCATTTTGGGGACGAAAGCCTCTTGTGTGAGTTGCGGAATGTGGTGATTATGGGTTGAGATTGTGTCAGGCCAAAGCGAGGGCTAAGTTGAGATGACGCTGCGACGACGGCTTGGTTCGATTTGGTGTGCGGGTCTGCCGGAGGTGTTGCGCTTCGGTGCTGACAGCAATGCTCTGCGACTTGCTTTGAGGAATAGAGGATAGCGTCAAAGACGCAAGCGAAAGTAGTGAGATGGTGGCAAAGAGAAAGAAGCTGAGCTCAAACATTGACACGGCAGGTAGGAAGAAACACACACACACACACGCGCGCGTGTTGCTGTCAGACTGCAGCGAGACAGACCTCATCTGCAATTTGGCAAAGAATGTTTGATTTCTTCCAACACACAAACTACATGAAATTATTCGCATCGACATATCGACACCCGCAGCTCGCCATGCTTCCAAGCCCACTTAACACTCGCTCTCCCATCCTCACTATACCTCGGCCACTCTGGTAGGAGTGCGGTTGGGATCGATGCCCAAGGAAAAAGCACTTGTTCGGTGAATTGGATTGCCGATGGGTTGGAGGGGTGGCATGGAATGCAGACCTTCTCACAGCAAGAGTGTTGAATCTCTTTCCCTCCTCGATCGGCGTGGTAATCTTCCCAAACGATCTCAGCACGACCGCCCTACACAACCAACCAACCCCCCCCCCCCCGCCGATAATGCTCCTGTACAGCCACGAATCAAGTACAAATTACACATGCAAAAAGAAGTACAAACACATCCATCACCCCCAGAGAGAAAAGCAGCTGACCATGCTACAGCGTCGCCAAAGAATAATACCTCGGCGGAAAAGCCTGTTGATCAATCCAAAGCATTCCCTCGCTCAAACACATGTTTTCCAACACCGCCCTTGCTCTATCTCTCCTCCATGCAGCTTTGTTTGTTTGTTTCTCCACCAACGAATCTTCGGTAAGATAGGCCAACCGCACCGCCTCCCCCTCCCTTTGCCTTCCTGCATCGGAGAGGAGTAGAGCGAGAACAACCATCGTATCGGTATCCAGCTCTCTCGGTACACTCCTGACCATTTTATGCTCTCCTCGTGCTCCGAGCGAGAAGACTTCGTACCCACATCCGAGAGGGGCCAACATTTTAATGCTCCGAACGATGTCTTCTTCTGTAATCTCCTCCGCCTCCTCCTTCTCTTTGTTGCTTTTTGAGATTTGTTTCCCGCCAGTACGAAGCAGCGTCACACGCCTGATTAGATCATCCATAGCGATGACTCCACCGTTGGAAGAGCGGGTGGATACGCAAACATCGATGATTTGCACTCCTAGCTCGTACTGCCAATCCCCCAAGCCTAGCATATCGCTCCAAAGCCCGGAAAGGCCGGAGGAGGAACGGGTGGAGGAGGAGAGAGGATCGACACCGATCGAGTAGCACATTTTTTGGAAAGCATGGCGGAACTCGGCGTTTTTGCGGATTTCATGCCGATGTCGAGAGGAAAATTGACGGAGAGACGAGGAGAAAGTGTCGAGTTGAGAGCCAAGTTCGACGAGTTGGCTGGCTGTGAGCGAGTCGCCGAGGGTGGAGAAGGCGGTGGTGGAGCGGAGAGTGCGGTCTAGGGCTGCGATTCCTGGGCCTCGACGCATTGTTGCCGAGGGGTGCAAGGGGGTTTGGTGTGAGGTATGGTGGTGTGTGAGATGAACAAGGGGGGAGAGGGGGTAGGACATTTGGTTAGTATCCCGAGTTCCGTGGAAATATGGTCGAGGATAAAAGGTGGTCGGTGCGTGAAATGCTTCCCCCACCCTTACCTCCCTCCTTGCGCTTTGTTTCTTCTCGTCATCCACAACCAATTCTTGTGACGATGCCTGTTCAAGGAGCTTGAGCAAGTAGTCATGGTAGCAGGCTTCGCCCACGCCCCATTAACCAAAGGCATCCTGATCACCCTCACCATCACCTCGATCCTCGTTTCGCTGTTTCAACTGAAACCATTCATCCACTTGCAAATTCACCCGCACCTCACCGTACACCATCAATACTACCGCCTGATTACGCAACACTTCGCTTTCACCAACTCGTCCGAGCTGTTTTTGGGGCTGCTGCTGTTCTACGATGCCGGGGTGAAGGTGGAGCGGACCTTTGGGACGTATAAATATGCAAGCTTTTTGGTGGTCACTACAACGCTGTACACAGCCGTGCAGGTGGTTCTGTTCGGGTTGAGCTCCTTTCTGTTGGCACAATACACAAAATCTCCTTGGAGCCCAGGAGCGGCAGAGGAGCTAGGGGAGAAGCACTGGTTTATCTCAGGTCGAACCCCAGCCGGACCCTGGGCTCTACTCTTCTCCATCCTGCATCAACATTCTTCCATCGTCCCACACCTCTGGTCAATCAGCATCTCGGATAGCCTCATGCTCACCGACAAAGATATCACAACATACTCTCTCGCCCTACTTGTCGCATTTTCTCATCCTTCATCATCACTCTTCGCCTCACTCCTAGCGACTGTGATCTCAGCGCTCTACCGAACAGGATCAGGTCCCTTTTGCAGGCTCAAACAATACCGTATCCCCCTTCGACTCTATCGAATCCTCTCACTGCTCCTCACGCCTTGGATAGGACAGACAAGACTACCGCAGAGAAGCTGGAGAGTGGAACCACCGGCGAGAAGGACGAGAGAGGCGAGGTTGGCGCAACACAATGCCGCTCTTGTGAATTTGAATAGGGGTGGGGCGGGGGCTGTGCCTAGGTTAGCTAGTTTTTTGAGACCGAGGAGGGAAACGCAGCCACCAGCGGTGCTGCCGACGCAGGGTGGACGAGGGCAAGTAGCTAGGGAAGGGGAAGTAAGGGGAGGGGTAGATGGCAGGAGAGGATGGAACGATATTCCACCAGATACAAGGGCAGAGTTGCAAAGCTTTCCAAGAACCGACGTTTTACGTGCTATGCAGGGGAGTGATGGCGATCCACAAGCTGCGTTGAATGCTTTGCGGGCAACTTCACTTTCGTCCGTTCCTGATCCATGACCCTTCCTCTGCATCGTTGCAATGCACAGCACCAATCTCATTGCCACTTGTTCATGTGTTTGCGTCAGAAAGTCTCGGGCAGGATCCATAGAGGCTTGTTTGATCGCACATTAAGCTTGTTTATAGAAGCATAGTGCAAGGGCAAGGATATCGTTCGGCGCTCTTGGCGCAGTGGTAGCGCGTGTCTCTCCTACTACCCACTCTTAGAACGTTTAGGACATTGCCAAGACGAGGTCGTGGGTTCGACCCCCACAGGGCGCTCTTATTTTTTAAAAAAAAATCTTCCTTTTTTGCTGTGTTAGACCGTCAGGATAAGAAAAGGTACTTTACGCTGTGTTGTTCGTGAGGCGCGTGCGTGTGTGTGTGTGTTGTGTTACACGAGAACGGCCATCAGCCTTGCTTTCCATACCCTCCATACACTCCATACCCTTCATACCCTCCCACACACACACACACAAACCATATAGAATAAGGTTGGAGCTGACAATGTCAGAAAGTCTCAAGTCCTGGCTGTTTTCCCACTGTTCCACTTCAGCCTGCACCGCCCTTTCCGGTAACTTTGATCTTTCCGATCTTCCTTTCCTCCCCGGTAATCGAATCCAGCTTCTCCGCTTCCTAACCTTTCTTCCCTCTCGCTCTCGCTCTCCCTCATCCTCCACCCACTCTGACATATGGGCATTGGTCGGAGACCGAACACACTGTATCGCAGCCCGATTCGACTTCAACCGAATCTCGCGCTTCCACGCCGATTATCCACTCTCCTTCACCTCTCTCAAAGGAGCGCTGGTCAGTCTGACACATGTTCGAATCACTGTAGCACGGGTAAAGATCGATCCAGGACTGGCGGGAGGAGTGGTGGGCGGGTATAGAAATGGAGAGTGGGGTTTAGTGTTAGATGTGAGGGGATGGAAGGTGGTGAGTAGTGTAGCTGAACCTGTTTGGTTTGGGAGGGTCAAGTTGGTTACTAGTCCTAATGCGGTCCCGGTGGGGGAGAAGGAGAAGGGGAAGAGGATGATGCTTTTTTTGAGCAAGTGGGTCAGGTTTGAGAATATGCAGATAAGGGCGGAGAGGGAGAGAGACAGGATGCAGCGGTTAGAACGCGAGAGCGAGGGCGAGAGCGAGGGCGAGAGCGAGGGCGAGAGCGAGGGCGAGAGCGAGGGCGAGAGCGAGGGCGAGAGCGAGGGCGAGAGCGAGGGCGAGGGAGCGAGGAGCGGGAAATGGGGGGAATGGCGTAGACGGGAGTGGGAGAGGAGGGTTTCCGACTCCAGCGCAAAGAAGGAGGAGGCAAGTGTTGGTTGCGAGTTCTAGACAGGTACAGAACTCGCAACCGCCCTCCAAGAGTCAGGTCGGAGCAGGGAAGGGGAAGGAAAGGCAGGTGTTTCAGTCGAGTCAGGCTCACTCACAAGAGGGTGCGATGTTTGTGACTCCAACTGCAACGACAAAGGAGACCGAAGCACTTTGGAACGACTTTGATCTGGACGCTGCAGTAGACGTCGATATCGATGATATAGATGTGCCGCAATTGTGGAGTGCCGCTAGTGCCATCGCTACAGTCGAATCTACCACGGAGATACAAGCATCAGAATCCGCACCAGCAGCAACGCAAACTATCATACCAGTGCAATCTCCAACTCAACCAGAAGCTCAGTTTGGAATCCAGACGCAATCGCCATCACAAGACCTAGACCCAGACGAATCTGGCCTCTCGGACTACGAGCGTAAGACACGTCTCGGTCGTCGAGCTTGCAAACGCACCCATCACCCGCCACGCTCGGGCACTCTTTCCGCCGCCTCCTCCTGCGTAGACGACACTGGTCTCGAGCCTAAGTGTCTCGAGCTCAAGTATCTCTCGCCCTCCTGCCCAATGCTGTCAGGTCTACCGGAAGAGGAAATGCAAAAGTCGACCATCGAAATTGCTTGCAACAGCAAAGGTACGCCAGATCGGACCAAGATAACCCACCACGCTGTCGAAGTAGACAAGAGAAAACTGTGGCAAGAATATCGATTAAGAAGGACGCCGAGAGTACAACCCGACGTTGCTTCTGTCTTGGCAGTCGATCAACATACATCCAAGACTGTTCAATCCAAGACTGTTCAATCCAAGACTGTTCAATCCAAGACAGTCCAACCTCGCTCTGTACTAGACACAGCGAGATCACCACGACGTACATCTACCAGTACAGCAAGCAACAAGATCAAGAACAAGAAACGTCAAGAAGCTATTGCTGCTCTGTAAGTCTACGTCTTGCTACCTCCAGAATGCGGATAGGGATGCTGACCCTTTTCGACTTGCATTCCTGACGACCAGAATGGCGACCATTGTCGACTAAATGCATCAGCAATACAGCGTACAGAGACAGAAGCTCGCAAAGTAGACCAATCCTGCATCATGATGCTCAATACGACCACAATCAATGGACAAACAAGCACGAGCTGTCCAGTTAGGAGAAAGATCTCTGGATCAGAGTCATATTCTTGCGTGTGTGTGTGTGTGTGTGTGATGAGGTGCTTTAAAAAGCCAAGTAATACACCAAGTGACGAAAGGTGAGGTTGTGATGGAATGCAATCGAGAGTAAGGAAGGAAAGTGAAGAGATAACCAGCAAGGAAGAAACAAACAAAAAAACCGCAAACCCCTGCGGGCTGTTGCAAGATTTAACGGTATCGTCGAAGCTGCAAGGTGTCCCTCTTTCGAATGGTCGAGTTCTTTCCACCTCCCTGGGTCTTGTTGTAACGGTGACCCTTGCCCTGACCTCTCGACTTCTTTCCGGTTGCGGTAAGACCACGGCATTCGCGACGTTTGTGAACAGACTTTGCGATCCAGTTGATACGAGGATCACGACGAATAGCCTTGTGTTGAGGATCAACAGCGATCACTTCAAAGTACTTGTAAACACCATCCTGGTTGATCCAGTAGGAGTTGAGGATTCGCAGGTTGCCGCACTTTCGGCCAACACGTTCCTCAGCAGTGGCACGGAGAGAACGCTGGTACTTGAGGTGGTTGACACCCTGACGAACAGGCTTACCGTAAGTGGCACCCTTGGGGACAGGCTTCTTGCGGTTACCACGTCGGACACGGATACGGTAAACAACGTAACCTTGCTTGGCCTTGTATCCGAGACGGTGGGCCTTGTCCAGACGAGAAGGACGAGAAGCACGGTGGATCACGTTGAGTTGACGGTATTCCCAGCATCTAGAATCGGTGAGAAGAGGTAATTGGGAAGATTGGTGGTGAGGTTAGCAATTCTGTTTGGGTATCGTTGGTTGATGTCTCGCTATCACATCCAAAACATCCAACGTCGGCGTTGTTACATATCCTTTTCGTGTCTGCAGAGCGACAAGTGTTGGAGCAGTCGAAGCAGCAAGCAGCACGACGACAAGATCCATCACACATGCGCCAAGATACGACAGTGCACCAGGATCGAAGATCCTTTTGTCTGACATGGAGCAGGAGGAACAGAACGACAGCAGAGTCTCGAGATGTGCCACGTACAGCATCGTTCTGCTTCCCTCCCGGTGCAAGCCAGATGAAGCCGCCCCAAAGCAAAGCAAGATGCTAGCATCTGCATCCTAACGACAGCAGTAGAACTGTGTTTGCATCATCTTGCACTCTGCAGACGCTGTCGGAACGAACAACAACGGACGAAAATAGCTGGATGCCAAGGCGAGACGTTGTGGGTTATGCAAGTTGGGAATACTAACCGAACTCGGAGAAGGAAACGGAGAACATCGCTCTGCTTCTTCTTATAGAGCTCCTCGACGTATTTGTAGGCACCCATCTGTGATTGTAGTTGAGAAAAAGTACGATGTACGTATAGCGAAAGGGAAAGAGAGTGGCAGAGAGAGAGAGAGGTCAGCACGAGCTTTCAAGCAATCGTGAAACGAAAAAGAAAGGGACTCCAAAGGTTGACGCCTCGCACCAAGCACAACCATGAGCGGTTCGCATAGCTAGAAAGCTAGTGCTACTACAACTCGACGGCAGGTTTGAATGACAAGGGTACTAAACGTGCCAGAACGTAGCGAGCATGGTGCGGTGTGTGGGTGCGATGGCGGTGATAGTGGTGGTGGAGGTGATGCTGATTTTGTCCGTAGGTGCTGCTGTGCAATGTCTTGTCCATCATGTCCTTTCTGATCCATGCCGTGTATTGATTGCGATGGTCTGCATCCTTACATCTGTTTGCTATGCGTGTTGTTGGTGTCGGTAATGGTTGGTGATGGCGGTGGCACTGCGTTTGGTTTGGCGGGGCTGGCTACGTTGCTGATTGGTTCTTATGGTCGATAAAAGTTGAGTATATGGTATAGATTCTTACCTTGAATGATTCTTGATGACAAAGTCGTGGGGTGTCGAGAAGGAGAAAGCAACGACGACGAGCGCAACTGCTAACGCACTCGCCTTCCATCGCCTGCTAACATGCCAAGCAGCACGTGATGTCGGACGCTAGGAATTGTCACGTGTCTCCTCGGCACAGATTTGTACAGTTGGATTTGTACAGTTCTGGTCGGGCTCGGCCGTAACTGCCTCGCGGTCCCGCCCAATGAAAACATCAGGAAAATGGATGGATGGGTGTGGTGTAGTGCCACAGCGCAGGCGCAAGACGGCCACTGAGATTGGGTGAAATTGTGAGATTGGACGAATGTGAGATTGGAGGAATGTGAGTGTTGGGGTTCATAGTCGAAGCTTTGCTCGCCATCCTCCTTCCTGATCATCAAGCCTGAAGCATCAGCCTCAAGATTATCCAAGATGGTGAGTAGCATATCCAACACATTCGGAAGGAGGCACTACGTTGTGATGCGCCGCTCTGCCATTCATGCATTTCATCAGGAGCGATACTACCAGCAATCACCAGCTCTATACACTTTGGATGCAGATGCAGAGCAAGATAGCTCGTCGACGTTGGATGTTGTCGACTCGGAAACTCCACCTTGGCCAATTATAGCATCGACATGATATACTTACACGCCAATCATTCCGTCTGGACAATCATGTTGTTCAACTCTGCAGCCGTTCGTCAAGCAAGTCAAGTCTGGCGCCTACTTCTCCCGTTACCAGGTCAAGTACCGTCGTCGTCGTGAGGGTCGTACCGACTACTACGCGCGCAAGCGTCTCGTCTCGCAGGCCAAGAACAAGTACAACGCTCCCAAATACCGCCTTGTCGTTCGTTTCTCCAACCTATACGTCACTTGCCAGATCGTTCACGCCAAGATCAACGGTGACAAGGTTCTCACCCAGGCCTCTTCCAAGGAGCTCCGCCGTTACGGTGTC